GTAAATTTGATGATTTGCACTTTGAACTTTAATTTGTTGTTCCCGCAGTTGTTGTTTGTTTGTTATTATTGTTGCTGCTGCTGCTGCTGTCTGCCATAAGCGCATTTAGGCCAGCCTAAAACTAATGGATGTTTTGGAATTTTACTACCACCATCAGCTAAGAGCCGTAATAAGCTCTAAACATTTATATTGCAAATTGTACAAATGTAAATATTTTGTGTTGAAATGATGCATTTTCTTATTACAAATACATAATAGAAACTATTTGAAAATTAATTACAATTTCAAATCATACCACAAATAAATGGGGGGTTTAAAATTGAATTATCTTTTATATTTTTGGAGAGGAAAATTGTTGTCTAAATGTAAGATTTTATGGTATGTAATTGTAATAAAATAGTTGTATATATTAAAGATTTTATGGGTATAGCAATATTTTTTAAACAGTTGTAAAACGTGAATATTAAAGAAAATAACTTGTAATAAATAAATTAAGCGTTTTATAAGCTTACTAAATTTTTAAACCACATAAAAATGAGTATACAAATTTAATTTAATGTTATTTAGTTAAGATCTACATAAACCTCCATATATATATATTTTTTTTTAAATAAATGTATAACTTTCCTTAAGTTCCCTCATCTTTTGATAACTCCACCACTAAACCCCCCTAAAGGGTCTGCAAAAGTTAATGCAGCCTGATCCAAAGCCCCGATTTCGCTTAGTCGCAGCTCAGGTTCTCGGCTCACCACCACCCTTCTTTTTATACGTTTTTATTCCCTGCTCTTCATATGCTGTGACGTCTGTTTCTGTTTTTATTCCAGAGTTTCCCCTTTCCTGTACTCTTTTCAGCACATTTTGCTTTGCTTTTCTTTGGCCAGCGAGAAGGAACATTGCATTATTTATGTACCCGGGCGAGGAGGAGTTTTCCAGAAATTTTTGTTAATAATTCTTACCAGCAGAATAGCTTGTAAAAAACAAACGAGAAATATACATACTTATAATTTCGCTTTTTTCCTTCCTAGGCTATTAAGGCTGATGATTTTAATGAGTGAATAATGTGTTTGGTTGGTTTTTTTCCCCCCAGTTTTTCTGCTTTAATTTTTTAATAACCTTCAAACTCTCGACTCGAGAGTTGTGGCTGCCTGGCCCCTTGTTTAATTCGTTTGTTTGCCTTCGACATGTGTCGAGAGACGACCGACCGACCCCCTGCTGGAAAAGTTCCCATTACTATTCAGATCTTGGCTCCCGATTCGAGTGGAGCATTAAATTTGTCATTAGGTTCTGAACATTACATCAAGTAGATTTATCTTTTTAAATATTTAAACGTTCTAATTGGCTGACCGTCGGGCACTTGAGGCTTCTTTCTCCAGTCTCTTCTCGCCCTGAGAACATTTTCCGTTGACATAGATAATTATTGTACTCTCTGCCCGGCGATTATGTCGCAGATTATGCGGCCCACAACTGACAAATGTCGTCTGGATTTGCCTCTGCCCCAAAAAGGGACGAAGACTCAGCTCTTCATGGGTGGAGGGGTGGGGTGTGTGTGTGAACTATAATGAGCCAGAGTTGACTTTTCATTTTGGGCTTGTCAAGTGCCTCCAGAGGCTTCTGCATTTTTCAAATGCCTTCGTGCCCTCTGACATACGTCTTCGAGTCGCATTTTTCAGTTCTCTGGGGGAGCTGTGACATTTTTTTATGGCCTGTACTGATGTTTTGACCTAGTAATTTAATGATGCTAAATGGCGTGGCAGTTGATTGCCGGAACATGCGGGTGGGGCCACTTGGAACTTGCCACCAGCTCGGTTGCCACTTGCCACAGGGGGTGGGAGGTGTGAGAAAGCTTCTCGAGTGCAGCACAAATGCCAGCAAATTCAATTTGTGGTCTGAGTTTTCCAAAAAAAGACACTACAAATGACAGGGAAAGAGTTGTTCAGACTTTGATGTTTTTGAAGAGATATAAGAAGGGTGTTCTTGGACACTAAAAGATATCCAAATTTGTTTCAACAAGTAGTAAATTTTATATTAAAATTACTGGGCACTATTCTAAATATTATTTAGAAAGCCTTTTACCCTTATAATTTCAGCTTCCTTTCCCCTTATTTTCTCTTTAAACTTTTCCAAAGCTGTCGCCTTTAGCCTGCATATCGCCACACATATCACCGAGCATCTCCCCCTAACCACTAACTAACCAATCTAAGGTCCATCTCCGTCAGCTATTCACACCAAAGGGACAGGGATAGAACCAGAGACCCGACTTGGACTTGGAGAAAGGAAGTAATCCATTTTGAGTGCAGTTTTCAATATCACTTTCCAGAGACAACTTCCTGCCGGCATCATCATCAAACAGGGCAGGCAGGCAGGCGGTGCAGAAGAGAAAAACTGTTGGCACTTTGCATACAAATGTGCTGCCGAGTCCAAGCCGAACTTATCGCAACATTTTAATAACTGGCGGCAACAGTAGCCGGACCTGCAGATGGTGCAGAAGATCTTAGCCGGAGACTGGGAGATGGAGTCCAGTCAGCTTTCATTAATTACCAGGAAAAGCGAGTTTTTGGTTGGAAGCCAGTCCGAGTGCGAGTGGATTTTCAACAGGTTTCCTCAGCCCTAACTGGGGCCCGCAAGCTGGCTCAAGATCCCAATTCCCAACTCCGATCCCGATTCTGACTCTGACTCCCAATTCTCCTGGACCGCTTATCTAGCGACCACATCACGCAACAGGCGCGTAATTTTATGAATGAAGTGTTCGCTGCCGGACAGGATTCATGGGCTAGGAAACTGGTCCAGGTTCTGGCACTTAATTGCAATCGCACCTCAGCAGGAACAGCAGGAGCAGGAGCAGCAGCATCAACAGCATCAACAGCCCGCAGTTTGTCAGTCAGGTTAACAAATTGCGTTAAGACAGAGCAGTTGCTTAACCGGTTTGCAGCACATCTGTGCTCGATTCTGGTGCACTTGTTGCATCAGCTTCATCATCATCATCAGCAGGAGGAGGAGGAAAAGCGGCTATAACATCAGTTGAAAGAGGGAGCAGCACACAGAAAGAAATCTCTATGTATCTCTATGACTTGCATTGCCTAAAGTAGCTGAAGAAACATTGGGACATACTCTTACTTACTTATCCAACTTATCTTACATAAAGAATAATCCAAATAAATTCCCTAAAATATTGCTAATTAATATTCTTCTCAGTGCACTTCCTGGACAACATAAAGAGGAGCAACAGAACCACGCCACATTGCACACTTGCAGCTCTCTCGCTTATTAAATATGATTATGTGTTCGATTCTGCGCTGCGTCTTCGAGTTGGTGCCCAGAGTGGCAGAGTGCCAGAGTGCCAGAGCTCCAGAGCATCAAGAGCCGCCAATAGCGAGTACCAAACCCGGGTAAAAGTACGATTGGTCGCAGGAAATGGAGCCGCGCCAGGCGTCGTCACATTGGCGGCTGGGCCCCCTCCACCAGCCACGGCCAACTGCTGCCCACTTTTAATGAAGTTTTCCGCTGCTTGATGGTACTGTTGACTTTCCCAGCTGGGCTTAGAGCCACGCTGCAGAAAGTTCTGAAGAAAATCAATTTCAGCGCGGAAAAACGTTGGTTAAAGCATTAGAAAGTCGGCTAGTGGAGGACTCCGGCTTGACTGGGTCCTTTCCATTATTGCCGTCGCCTTGCTAAGTCGCCAGGCAAAATAAAAATCCATTGGTCGTTCAAATGTTTTAATTAAAATTTAATGAATTCAGTGTACTTAATTATGCATTGTTGTTTTTACCCCGACTGGCGGGCTCTTCGACGGTCTATCCTGAAAATTAAATTTAATTGTTTGTATATTTTTCTGCCACTGCCACTGCCATTGCCACTGCCACAATCGAGTGGCAATCGAGGCGTAGTTGAACCAGAAAAAGGTTAGAAATACGGTGACACAGACGGCCCAGATATGGTAATTAAAATTGCATTTATATTGCAATTGATTTGATTATTAAAATATGTTCAGCTATGCCGCCGCAGTAATGTCAATAATGTTTATGAAGTTAGTCAGAGTCTGGCACCGAAATTGCTGTTTTAATTAACAAAAATTTGCGTTGAGCCATCAAATAAATAAATAGCCAATTTAACTGCAATAATAAGCATTCTGGAATTTATTAAACTGCAAGTAGCCGGAAGCATTTGTAAATCAATAAAGTAAGCAAACAAATTTGATGGGAAATATCAAAGGGCGGAAATAAAATCGAATTCTACAAAATTGAGATAATTAAAATCAAATCTCGGCCAAAAGCAAATAGGGCTGACTAAGCTAAATCGAAATGTACATTTTATTGACCTCGAGTGGAGTTTATTTAAGGGGAAATCATTACTAAAATGAAGTAAATATCTTTTGAAGACCACCTGCTAAAGTCTCTCGGGGCTGTGAAAGCTGATCCGCAATCCGTTAATGCCTTGGTCGATTTTTTAAGAAATTAAAAATATGTATTATTAAAAGTTCCATTAATTAAGTCGAGCGAGCCGCAGAGGCTATTAATTAATAAAACTTCCTAGCAAAATGCCGCCACTTTGTCTGGCTGGCTCCGAAAAAGTAGAATCAATTAGGCGGCATTTAAGGTGCTTTTAAGGTGCAAGAGGACACGCCCACCTGGAGAAGAAAAGAAAGCCTCCAGGTGAAAAGAAAGAAGAATGATGACCGAAGTCAGAGGCGGCTGATTGATGACACTGGACAAATTTTCATTTATTACTCTTTTTAAAAATCTGTAAAATACCCAGGATATTATTTTCCTCTACATTTTCCCCCTTCAAATAACTCAAAAACCTTTGTATTTAATTTGAAAAATTTGTAATTTTATTCAAATATTTTTCTTTTTGTTTGAATATACAAAAAAGTTTGTTGTCTTTCATTTGTTTTGTTGTTCTTTTTTTTTGTAATTTTTAAATTGTTTTTCTTTTTTATTTATCTTTAATATTTTAAATATTTACTTTAATTAATGAAGTATTATTTTATACACGTACTTAGCTTGTTTGTTTTTCCTCTCTTCAATTTAAATGCAAATGCTGTCAAAGTCTAATTTATAATTAACATTTTTATGGAATCTGTATGTATAAGAGTTCTTTAGCATAATTTTTGGCGCTCGCGCGTGCATGCATCAACTTGTTTACCATGTATATAATTATTGTCATGCATGATAAAAAGATGTATGTACCTATATATCGAATATTATTTGATGTCTCAAGTCTTGGCTTAAAATTAGTCTGTTTTTTCGGTTTTGGTGATTTCGATTTCATTATCGATTTCCTATCGTTTTTTTCGTTGACAATCGTTTACTCTTTTCGGGCCTGCTCTGTGTGTATGTATATATATTTAAATATGTTTATGCTGATAAATATCGGGGTATGTCCTATAGCTTAAACTTGAACAACTGCTAATGAGAATGAGTCACGACTCGCCAGACTCGTAATATTTAGGCTAGATGCTAAAATGCGTAATTCCTACTACTTAATATCGATGGTTCTTACTACGAATTAATATTTTGAGAGTTCTTTTGTTGTTGTTTATTTTCTTTTATGTTTTCTTTTTTTAATATTTTTTTGTGGCTTCTACAAATGCTGCTGCTTGTGGGTGGAGCTGGGTTGCAAGGGCGGCAAGCATTTATCGTAGAGCATTTTGGGTTGCGCACCTGCCCCGTGGGCTCCAAACCAAATAAAAATATCCCATATCCCGGGGGTCTCCCCGGTTGATCGTTTGGTTTGTGGCCAACGTGTGGCTTGCGTGCTTCGGGCACAGGTACTTATCACAGCCTTCGAGCGCCGCATGCAAATGTCTTTTCTCAAAACACACTCAACATGGTTTCTCCATTTGCGCTCCGTAATAATCAACGTCATATAGTAATAATTACAAACGTAAAATAGAAATAAGAAAATAAAAAATTCAATAAAACCCGCAGCAGCCCAAAGAGACACGACACGAACACCACAGTCGCGTCTATCGATTAAGTGCTTCGTCGTTATTCCATTTCCGCTTCTCTCCATATATAGTATATCTTCTTTTTGCTTCTTTTGCCGGTGATTATGAATGATGTGATGTCAATCAGTCTAGCTGGAGATTCGGCTGGGTTGGGCTGTCTGTGGCTGTCATTCACGCTCAGCACGGTGCTTAGTAGGTCTGCGGAGGAGAGAGAGAGGGGGAGAGCAGGTGGAACGGCTGTTAGAAATACAGGTAAATACAGGTTGTCCTAACAAGCTGCTAATTAGTGGGGGCTTGGCAAGGTCTGGCGATTGATCTGGATCATTATACGAAATTATATAGCACCACAAGAGAGATATCGTTTTTGTGATAATAGTAATTAATTTATGCTCTCGATAATTTCGATAAACATTTCATATATCGAGGCGAGGGTTTGCTATAAATGGTTAAGCCTTGAAAAAATATAATTTTATGCCGATTCTGATTTATTTATACCTTTTTTTGATAACAAAGATTATATCACCCTAAAAGCCATTTAATCAATAAATAATCGAGCTTTAATATTTCTGTAGACTGTCTATAAAATTCTAAAAAATTTGTGTAATCATTCATAAGCTCTAATCTCTCTCCAATTCCCCCAACTTATTCTATATATTATTTAAAATTTCTTTCTCAACTTACCACTGGCGGATAGGACATGTATTTATCGCTCATATTGAAGTACGATCCATCGGCTGGCGGCGCTGGCGATGGCGACGATATGTAGCTACCCTTGATCACCAGCGAGGAGGCGGGCGAGGGCGATGGGATGTACAGGCCATTGGAGATCAGCATGTGATCGTCCTTGGAACGCATGGGCATGCCATCGATCATACCCGTGACACTGTTCCGCTGACTGTGCCTCTTCGGGTTGGGCAATGTCCGGGTGAAGTCCGGATTGCAGAGCGGATAGGGCGGGGTGCACATGGAGCTCTCCTGGTACTTGGGCGGATATGCCGTCGACTGGATTATGTCCACGTTCTCCACGAGGTAGGTGGAGGCGGCTGCCTTCTTCTGGACATCCGCCTGCAAAGCAGTGATGGGCAGCTAATTAGGATTTTGAAAAGGGGTTAGATCTCGTTAGTGGGTCAGTAGTGTTCGATGATCCTACCTTGTAGACCGACTGGTTGTCGTCCTTGGAGTAGACATCATCGTTGCTGGGCTCCGCCTCGCTCTGGGACTTGTTCTGGCGACGGATAACAAACCAGGCCACCAGGGCGGCATTCAGCACTAGGAGAACCATGGCAGCCGAGGTGATGCCAATGATCATCACATTGGGCAGCTCATCCTTTTCGGTGTACTCCGCCGAATGGGGCTGGGAGCCCTTGCTGAGGGTCAACTTGATGTCGGGCATGAACTTGCTGCCTCCCGCCTCGTTGGCTGCCATCACGGAGAAGTAGTAGGTGGCTCCTGGCTTGAGACCATCCAGGGATATGTTCAGGAAACCCGGCTTAGCATCCACATACTTGTACTTCTCCTCTCCCTGCTGCTTCAGTCGCAGCCGGAAATAGGTCTGCATTCCTCCATCGAATCCTGGACTCCAGTTAAGCTCCACACCCGTGTCACTTACATTTCCCACTCTCAGCTGAAGAGGAGTATCCGGTCGGGTGGGTTTGCTGAACTCCAGCGTGGTGCTAGCCTGTCCCAGAGTATTTCGAACTACGCACTCGTACTGCCCATAGTCATCCCCCGAGGTGTTCTCTATCAGCAAAGCGGACTCGTAGTTCAAGGGATCTACTTGGCGTTCCACGCTCTTAAACTTCTGGCGTCGCTGCATCTTGAGATCCTTGCCATTGCGCCGCCAGATGAAGCTGGGCTGAGGGGCGGCCAGAGCCCGGCAGATGAGCTGAGCCCGAACGCCCAGGCGAGCGGCATAGCGGGTGAAGTTAGGGGAGTGATCGATTTCAGGGGCAGCTATTGGATAAAGAAATAATCAAGGAAATTAGGGATTAATAAAATGAAATAAGGAAATATATACCCTAGAACTAAGTCTAAATTTTATATATTTTTGTTAACTTACTTTGCACCACTAGCAGCACATTCTGGGCCGCTGGAGCTCCTCTCTGGTTGTCCACAATGCAGGTGAAGTTGCCTATATCACTGCGCTCCACGCTGGCTATCTGCAGCAAGGCAGTGCCATTCTCAAAGCTGGAAATGGTGCGTGAGGCCAAGTCATAGCCATCTCTAGACCAACGGACATGGGCCGCCTCCAGAGGACGAGCCTGGATGTGGCAAGCCAAGACAGCCGGTTCACCAGCCACAAAGCTACGACCCTCACTGACAGACGTTATAGTAGGGGCATCTAAGGGAGTTGAGGAAGAAATAGAAACACAACCTTAGCTTTGCTTTTTTTGGAGGTCACTCCACTCTCCAAGATACTCACATTCCACGGCCACCTGGACCTCCAGCAGAGCAGTGCCCTGGCTATTCAGCGCCTCACAAATGTAGACACCCGCATCGTTGCGACTGAGACGACTGATGTTGAGACGCGGTCCATCGGAGATCAATCGCTGACCGCTCAGACTATTGCTGCTAATGGGCAGGCCGTCCTTGGTCCAGGTATAGCTAATGGCCATGGGATTTCCGCTGGCCAGCAGCTCCACATGGAACGGCGCCCCCTCAACGCCCACAAAGGTGGTGGTCTGCGCCATATCGAACTTGGGGGGATCTAGGTATTAAATTTTGAAAATTATGATGTCTCTGGAAAATCTTAAATTAATTAGAAAACTCACAAAGTATGTCCAAGCTGATGGTCTCGTGAACGCTGCGCTGCAACACCTCGTTGTGGCTTTGACAGGTGTAGATAATGCCATCTAGATCCTGGGTTATATTCACATACATCTCCAGGGTGGACACTGAACCACCCCAGAGACCAGGACGATTGGCCAGGTTAAGACCCTCGACGGGTATGCCATCTTTCCACCAACTGATCTTGGCTGGAGGATTACTGGAACTGGAATCGCAGACTAACTTGGCTCTAATGCCGGGCACTAGGTTCTTGGGCACCACACTGATCTTGACAGTTTCTGGGGGGACTGGTATTGGTAGGAGAAATACTATATAGTTAAGATAATCAAGGAGGAAAGCTGTACTTACAATGAACACCCAAGGTCTTGGTGGCAAACAAAGGAATATCTATAGCTGCATTCTGAACTTCACACTTGTAAATGGCATTGTTATCGGAGGCATTGAGCAGTAGGGACAGCTCGGAAGTGATTTTACTGTCCACCAGTTTGGAGGGAGCATTCAGTCTCTTGTCGTTCTTGTACCACTGGAGGGTAGGAGGAGGATTTCCACCAGCAGAGCTGCATTGGAGTTTCAGTATGGAACCGGAAATGAGGATATCGCCATCATTGTAGCCAGTAAGCAAGGGTGGCGAAGGGGGATCTATAGAAAGATATATATATAAACATAAATTTACATAAATTTCTTAGCTTAATTTATATATTTTCTAAAAACGAAAACTTACACAAAACATTAACCGTGTGGGAGCCCACCACATTCTGCGTGAGCTCCGTGTTGAGGGCATGGCAAACAGCTATGAAGGTCCTGCTCTGGGAATCAATGTTCAGGCTGATGTTGGAGCTGCTGACCCAGCCGCCATCAGAGCTGCTGGTGGTCTTGTAGGTGCTATTGGCCAAGGGACGACCATTCAGGGACCAACTGATGCGGGCAGGAGGATTCGAGGGGGCCGTAACACAGCTCATTTGCACAGAATCGCCGACCTTGGCTTGACTAGCGCCACTGAGATAGACGTCCTTGGGGGCATCTATAGAGAAAATAAATTTATTTGGGTTATAATTAATGTTTGAGGTACAATTTCTTTGATTTTCTGGGCTTATTACGAAATAAAGAGAGTCCAAAACTTACACAACACCGTCAGATTGAGTTCGGCTCGCAGGGGCGTGGGCGCCAGCAGATTTTTGGCCTCGCACACCAAATTGGCTCCATTGTCCTCGGCAGCGGCGGTGAACTTGTACACGTTTTCCGACAGGCGTCCTGAGGTGCGTTGCGGGGAACTGACAGCCACGCCATTCCGGTACCAAGTCAGCTGGGCTGGGGGATTCCCGCCACGGCTGCGACAGGCGATTTGCACATCCTGGCCACGATTAAGGCTCTCGCTTTGGCTATAACCCTCAAAGAACGGCTGTCCTGGAGGATCTGCATACGAATTGACGGCTATTATTAGGAATTTCTGCTCAACTCAAAGGCCATGCCACACTTACACAGCACAGAGAGCTGCACCTGGGCGCGCATGGGTACATCGGGGGGCAGGGCCTTGTGACGGGCCTCGCAGGAGAACTCCTTGTAATCGTCCTCGGAGGTGGGTTGCAGGTGGAGGGTGGAACTGGTGGTAAAGCGCTTCGGGGCAGTTTGATTCACAGAGACAATGGGTGCTGCACAGAGAGAAAATGTTAAGGAAAAAAATGCTATGGGGTTTAGGGATCATAATAAAATATTTTACATATTTTTACTGATGGTAAAATCCTTTAAAAATTTAAATCTTTCATTTTATTATTATTAAAACTATGACTCACCTTTCTGTACTGGCACATCGCCCTGAAACCACACGATCTCCGCCGCCGGATTGGCATTCTCGGCAATGCAGTGCAGCGTTAGGTTCTGTCGCTCCTCCACCTCCACCCGGGCATTCCTCGAATAACCCTCAATGACGATGCTACTGGGTGCCGCCACAATGCTCAGCTTGGCATTTGCCCTTATGGCCGGATTCCCTGCCGCCGGACCCACCTGGCACTGATACTCTGCATCATCCTCGAGCGTGGCATTCTTGATCTGCAGATTGTATGCATTCTGCTTGGCATCCACCAGGACCGAATAGCGTGGAAAGCCAGGAATCACTGCCGAGAAGCCCAGCGCAAAGCCATCCTTGGTCCACTGGACTTTGCCGGCGCGCGAGGACACCTCGCAGCGGAGGAGGGTATCGGTGCCTTCGAGAATTTGTAGATCATGGGGCGTAACCCGGAACTTTTGCACGGCAGGGGGAGTGGGAGAGGTAGCTGCAGGTGGAGCAGGAATTGGAGCCGTGACTGCAGCCATTCCTAGGCAGAGGGAGGCAGCTGCAGAGAGAGAAAAGTAGAGAATTTTAGTTTCCTCTTTAAATAAGGATCTTCACAAGGTTTTTAAATATGTAACAGGCTTAAAGTGTGTTTTGTTTGTAATAAATTTATTTAAATTATCCCAGATTTTCTTTTAGTGTATAACACAGCGGGAGGAAAAGGAAATTCGCCTGGTTAATCGGCACGTTCGACATTTGCGCACGTAGTTTGCCAAGTGCAACGGCAATGGGAACAGTTCAATTGGCATCGGAATCGACATGGATGTGTCGACCTGTCAGGGACGCCCCGAAACGAGGAGTCCGGGGTGCTCGGGATCTCCCCCCCGCACACGGTTACCCAGTTTTACAGCCCACACATAAAATACACATTACTTAAGCGTAAGCCCCGACGACGTCGCTCAGTCACATCGCACTAATTTGGTACAACTTCTTTTTCTCCGTTTTTCCCTCCACCGGACGACTCACATGTGTCAGGCAACTCTCAGGCTGTCATTGAGACATGGATGTATCTGTCCGTGAGTCTGTCCGCTTGTCCGTCTGTCCGTGAGTCGGTCTTTTATTTTGTATGTTCTCTCGCCGACTGAGTCGGCCCACACCTAGGCCTAAAGTAGGTCTACAGAGCTCTTGCGGCTCATTAGCATTAAAATGTCTTCAAGAAACGACCAGGCCACGTTCGATACCAAATTGAACGGCCTACTCAGCTACATGTACATATATAGATACACTCATGTGTGTGCGACCTAATCAGCATTAGAGCAATCTACATAGGTACAAATATATAAAAGCATTGACACGCACACTGTGTCGAGAAAAATGCTGTGTGGGTGCAAAAAAAAAATATATATAAATAAAAATAAAACCAAGAGAAAGTTCCTTTTTTGGTCAGTCTGAGAAAACAAAGCCTCGTAAATCATCTCCAGTTCTTATAAAGACAAACTGTCGCCTAAGCAGTGATAAATATTTCTCCCATTCTAATAAATTGGCCATTAATCTTGGCTTAAATCTCTAATAACATTTTTAATTCCCCCAAGCCGAAAACAAGTTTAATTACCAATTGATTTCAGCGATTGATTCAGCAAGTTATAACTCACTTTAAACTGGTTTGCTGGTTGGCTGGTGCCACTGTGCGGGTTAGATAAACAATACATAAAACAAAACAAACATTTCTGTCGTGGATTAATTGATTATTTGTCTGGGAAGATGGTCTTGGCCAGGCCAGGCCAGGCGGATATGATTCGGAGCGGAAATGTGACCGACCACCCAGGGGTTGCGTTTGGACTGGGCCAAGTTAGTCATTCGTTTTGAGGGCGACTCGATTTGCATTCTCTGTCGCTGGCCAAAGTTCAAGCAATTAAGCCAAGCGACAGTTGACCAACTCGGCGCTGCCAGAACATTTCCTGCGGCAATTAACCAGCGAAAAAAAAAAAGAGAGAAAAAGAAACTGCACAACTTGACAGGTTTTTGCACTGACAATGACGGGGCCAGAGACAACAAAAACAAAAACTGAGACCCGACTTGCAACAGCATACAACTCATTTAGTGCCATTACGGGAGGAGAGATGGCACTGCGGCTCTATGGGTTTTATGGCCAACAACATCAGGGGGAGAGACCGAGGCAGACTGGCAGGAAAGCCACCCCGCTGGGCCGGGGTAATTGTCATATGTGTGTGTGTGTGCTGCAGGATGGCCAACAAAGAAATCCTTGAAGTGTGACAGTAGGAAGCAAACAGCCCAAAGAAGCGGCCCAAGGAACAACAGGCAAAGAACTGAGGAACAGAGAACAACTGAACAACTGAAGTAACTCAACAACTGAAGAGCACAAAACACACGCCACTCGACTATGACTGGAGTAAGTGCAAAGTAAATGAAAGATGAGCCAGAGAGACCGGTTTAGCTTTCATTCATGGCTTCTCCTCAGTCGTTCTGGCCCTGGTCAAGAAGGAGCGGCAACAGCAGCAGCAGCAGCAGCAGCTGTAATTGTCAACTCTTCCCCACAAATTGTACGCAAACTAAACTAACTGCTTAACCGCAAAACGCACGACGATGACGATGATGATGATGACCATGTCGATCCGGAGTTTCCCTTCTTCCCTCAAAGCCTAGTTCCTGCACTCGGGCCTCTTCCTGTGCCTGTGCCTGCGGCTGATCCTAGGCCCAAGTCGGTTCCTGGCCACAAGTTAAGTGAGGGCCTGGCCTGTCCTGCTTTTGGCCTCAAAAGCTTGCTAATAGTTTTTAGGTTGAAAGGGACCAGATCCTGGGGAAAAGGCTAGAGCTAGAGATGGCCAAGAGGGAGAGTATAGTATAAAAGGGTGCTGTTTTATGGAGAATAGGGGAATAAATATGCCAGCAAAAAGATATTCTTAAGATACAATTTTCTATAAATTAAATCCATGAAATAATATTATATATATTTTATATATATTTTTTAACAATTTGTCTTCAATCTTTAGGCTTTACCCTCAGCTCATCTCTTTCACCAGCTCGCTGTGTTACGTGTGGCATTGGCAAGCCAAGCGCAACGCCGGATGTCGCACTAATGGTCAACGCAACGCACTCGAAGGTCCCAGTTTAAGCCCACTCTATAGCCTATTCCCTACTCTATACCCTCTCTATACCCTCTCTCTCTCTGGGCCGATCTGCTTTGTAAGTTAAACTATCTACAAGTCATTAACTCATACAAAGCCGGCAACTGTCGCAGAGGGAAGAAGGCCTAGGCAACGCTCTCTCTCTCGGCCAGAATCCGGAGTGAAGTGGCCTGGACCAACGCACATTGAGCCTTTTGTTTTTTTCCTTTTTGTTTTTCCTCTTTAGCCTCCCTTTTTTTTCCTGTGTGAGTGCTGTTGGATATTTTTTTTCCTTATCGAGACCAGTTTCCAGTTTATACGCTCCCGCTGGTTACTCCAGCGCGTTAATGGAAAATATTGTGGCATATCACAGGAAATCCGGTGAGGTTTTTTTTTGTTTTTGCCTTTGCTTTGGCCTTTTCCTCCTTCCTTGCCTGTTGTTTTTGCCACACTCTCCTTACACTTAGCTGGCATCTCTCCATGTTACACTGCTCGCTTTGACAAAATTAACGGGCACATAAATCTCTTGGCCGGGTTTTGCGGCTTTGCGTTATAAATTTAATTAAATTTTATTTTTTTTCCCCCCCTCGTATGTACTTTACTGCGCCTGTTAAGCATTTTTTGTCGCCTGCTTAGCCAACCTAACAAATGTCTTTTATTATATTGATTAAAGCGGCTTTGGTGTGTCAAATTTGTTGTCAGCCATGTTAAGCGCCCGGCCAAAGTGTTTCAAATTGTTTTAAATGGCAAGCGAAAGGATTTTGTCTGAGGCTATAACAATTATTTCTCCACATGTGGGCGGTGGGCGGTGAGTCCTCCTAATACTCTTGGCTGAGTTTAGAGCTTTTCCGCTGAAACTTGAGCGGTTTTTGGCCCGAATGACATTGGGATTTTATCTGTTTCGGAGGGTGATGTGTTCTGGAGAGTTGTTTGGAATGAATTTCAATTAAATTTAAGTGAGTTTTCTAATTATAATAAAAGGTACTTTAAATCTAAGAAGCCAAGAGATTTTAAAGTTTGAACTTATTATTAAAATTATTTATTAAGTTTTGCCCAAGATCAAATTCAATGATTTAAACCCTGAAAATATGTCATCTTGACTCTCTTTTCGTACACTTTTTAAGCAACTTGGCATCTTCTTGGCCATCGTGCTGGTACCCTATATTTCTTTGGCTTTTTGTGGCTTCCGCTTATGGCCAAGTTTATGGCTGACCCAGACCCGCATTCCCTCCACTGGAAGAGTGTCACGTCACCGTCCAAGACCAGGCCAGTCAGTCCAGTCCAGGCGTTTAATGTTCGCCCTGGGCACGCTTAATAAATTCACAATAAAACGCATTTGAATCCCGCGAACGGAATGGGGATCATGGGGGCATTAACGACCTCCAAATGTTTGTTTATTGTTGCTTCTTCCCACACAGATACCCCAGTATCCAGAATCCAGAGTCCTTACGCAAATTGCCGCATTACCAAGTCTCTGTCTGAGTGTGTTTGAGCTCTGATTGAATTATAAAATTTGCAGCTGAACAACTGCGGCCAGTCCAGGCCAATATCAAATGCCAAGCTCCCCTCACCGCCATTTCGAAAAGCCTCTTCGACGTTAAACTAATCAACTAATTTGCTATGAACTTTGCGGTCTGCACAAATTAGAGCGTCCGAGAGAGCTGCCCGGGACCCACACCGATTCCATTTCGAGGCATTAACATTAATTATTTTCTGCTTCATGAGCATTTTAGATGAACACGAACCCGGGGACCCAGAGATGTGACCTCCGATACAGCGCAGATCCCAGGCCCCGGGACTTTCATCTTTCGTTAATTAATACAAAAATTCAGCTATGGGTTGTGTCAACTATTTTTTTGGAAAAAATTCTTGCGGTGTAGTCTGGCCTGGCGGGAGGCAACAGTAAATATTTTTCCTAGGCCAAAATTGAAAGTATTTTGCGGGCTGGTCAGAATATTTTTTGAATTTATATCAAGGCGGGAATTTGCCAGGAATTTTGCAAGGAATTTAAGTTGAGCAACTAAAAACTGAACAGATTTAAGGCTTCAAAAAATACATAAAAAAATAGGAAATGGAAAAATATAACCTCGGTTTTAAATTAAACAATTTTCTCTGTTGAGAACAGGGAAAAAATACTGCCATAAAAATCCATTCTTTACCAATTCCTGCATATCATAAAAGCCATCAGCGAGAGGAAGAGAGAACGGTAATAGATTTGATGATTTTACGACTATAAGCCACTCAGCGAGCAGTTTGTTTGTCCGGTTGTCAATCCATCCATCCATCCAGCCACCAAACCAACCAGTTTTGTCAACTGCCACATGCGTGGGCCAGGCCAAGAGATTTTTTGAACACCCACAAGACAAATTTTATTAGTCATAAATTGAAAATCATAAAAATCATAAAACTCGCTCACAGCAGCACCTTGTCTTGGTCT